GATGCACATGAAACAGTGAAGTACAGTTGTAGGGCAGCACAAAAGTGCAATCTGATATTCCTGTGAGGGACAGTTGGTGCAGTGCACAACATGACACAGCTGTGCTTCTTTGAGGTGTTCACCAAGTGACCCAAAGAGTGACTTCAGCATAGAAATCTAATCAAACATGCACCACAGGTAGGATAAAATTTGAAATCAAGGTACATGTGAGGATATTCAGTCATACTTGTCTGAAATTGGGATTTCTGTGAACATCGCCATGTCATTTTGTGGGTTGAATAAATATTTTTGGCATAAAGTTTTACTGCGGATTCAAAGTTTTCAAAGTCAATTAAGGTCCATAGATTCCGCAAATTACATTTTCATTCTTCATGCAAGCACCCCTTTGGTATTAATTGAGGACAAAAATGACAGTCACACAAAAATTGAAAAAATAACATATCAGGAATAGTGCCACCAATCGTAACTGCCACCAGAAGTGTCGCTAATGTGGTTTTGAGGAAAAACAGATTTTTGAGATAATTGCCAGAGAAGTTTTTCCTTTATAAATGCCACCAAAATAAGTTTTTTATGACAACTAGACCTAAGTTGTCATAAACTTCACGTAACATAAATCCCTTAAATGATTCTTAGATGTCTACTCCTTCACTTAACCCAAGTAATTCGTATGAAAACAGCAGTTAATTAGCCAAAATTAATTAACAAAGGTTAACGTCACTTCGTGAAAACCAAAATCCTGGTTGACCTACTATGCAGGCATTTCCTTGCAATACGTTTTGTACATGTTCAAAGGACGTTAGGCATTGCGTCTCTTCATGAAAATAGAAAATGCTGTTTTCAAGATGTTTGCCATCGCCTCGGCAACATTAATGTATCTAAGACATTAATGATGGTTTGAGGGAGCATGTCAAAATGGTCAAGCACGATACTGTAAAAGAGAATATTGAAAACAATGGAAGTCAACAAAAATTCATTTATTTGGACATTAGTGTCTCTTCGTGAGAACGGTGATGCAATGTCTGGGTCAATGCGAGCCATGCGAGCTCAAGTCAGAGAACGATGGGCATGATGGGATCAAAAGAACACATAATCACGCTAAACCATGGCCCAACACATGGCACTTTACTTGTGCTGCAACCATGGCACCTAGTCTGCTGGTCAGAACATAAGGAGCTGTTCATAGGCCTACCAGCTGTCGGCCCTAAATGTACAACAAACAGCATGATCGTAATGATCATGATGGGCATGATGGAAAAGCCAGCCTCTGCGTGTACTACACGGTGAGCCTAATGAGAACTAGGCCAATTTATGAATTACCCTGTTGATCTGCATGGTTGAAGACGATTGTCTACCACTGTCACCGTCTCTCCAAACAAGTGGTTGATGTTGAATTTAAACTCCATCTCTTTGTCGACTACGAAATTTGCTTGATATCATCATCTGACTAAATTATCCATTTTCGTGAGTGGTGGCTCTTTACCGCTCGAGTTTCGACATGCATTTTAGTCCTCCATGCTAGGCCTTGCTCAAACTGCTGCTAGGGTTTATTTGGAATTGTCCATCAATTTAGGGATACGCGATCAAGCACAAGTTTTCTTACCTCTGTGGTTTGTGAGACCCTTATGTTTACTCAAATAACTTATTCCTGAAATGAATAAATCTATCTATAAAAGGAAACACTTCAATCAACTTAAACCCGTCAACTTGCGTAACAAGTGTATAAATATACATGTATTTTAAAGTAAATTCTTTGGAAATACCCCTTTTATAAATCAACTATGCCACTGCAGGGGTTAACTGGTAATCAGATAATGTCTTGTCGAGCTAGCTAGCACGCGGGTACCAGTACCGTGTACTCGAGTTCATTCAGTTTCGATTCTCTCGTGCGAGGACGTCTGCCGTTAGGAAACTGACTGACAGTTAAGAATTTTTTACCATTGACAGGTCAGGTTTGCACTTCTTTACTGCATATTTAGGCGATCTAACGAGAGATGCCGAGGAAGAAGCCATTCAGCGGAAAACAGAAGAAGAAGCAACTACAGGAGAAGCGGGACAGGAAAAAAGGGGACGGTTCTTCTGGACAACGAACTAATGCAGGTAAAACTGGGATTTTCAAAAGAGGGCGCTGTTTTTTGTTATCATTTTTTTCAGCATGTTCTGTGTGATTGATATTAAAAATAAAATGTTTACCGTTTGCATGAAATGCATGATAGCTCATCATGCTTGCTTTAAAGTAGCCGTGGGGCCCAGAGCACATGTATGTAGTTAAGATTGTGTGAAAGTTTCTCATTGTCAAAAGTGTAACATTGTGTTCAGTAAAGTAGGCTCGACTTTGCGGGATTGTCATGATTGTAAATATGGCCACCCTCTTCCTATAATAGTACTTAATAAAAAAGGGAGAGCTACATTTTAACTTTTGAATTCACCTTGGTAGAAGACTCTTTCATCATGCTCAATAACTGAAGGGTTGATGTCAAAAAAGGGCAGGGTTTTGAGGGAAATTATGAGGGGACACTGAGTGTTTTACGGTGACACATGGTGGATTCAAATTTGCATGGCTAGTTTATCAGTAAGACAGTCACATTTTCTCACAATGTATGATTTGAAATTTGCAAAAAATAGGATCAGCACAATAAAGAGAGTGTTTCCTTTGTTTTTTGGGGGGACTTACAATTTTTGCAAATAAAATGACAAAAAATGGGGGGGGTCCCTATCCCAGGTTGGACGTTGTCTTCATTTCATTAATGACTGACGTCTAGGGTCTAAGATTTGTGTACAAAACGACCACAAATTTGGTTCTAATATGTTCTTGGTTTACCTTGTTGAAGGAACTAATTTATCACATTTACAAGTTCTTCCTGGCCTTATCTACACATGTACATGTATCCGTTTGGGGCGTTTAGGAATTTCAGATCGAATCATAGACTGCAAAATCGAGGAAAATAAGGGAACATAATATGCAGAGGCAGTACATGCACTGGCAAGGGAATGGGCGGTAAGTGATCACGCACAAATCGTGCTGTAGATCAGCCTTTCCGGCCTTTTTTATTCGTAAACTAAACATACAGTAAGCAGACTGAATTGGTAGTTGACAGTGAGGAGTTGGATTTTAGAGCAATGGAAAGATACATGTACATGTAGCTACATGTTGAAGTTTTTAAAAATCTCCTAATTCATAATCATACGCTGGAGACGTAAATCCATGTGAACTATGTAGTTGTTTGGAGTCTTCTGTAAATCATACATGTTTGTGCCTTCCGGTACTCTTGTTAATGTTTTTCACCACTGAAAAAATGTCACTGAACAGTTGTGTCAGTGGGCTTAAAATTCATTGGCTTGGGAGGCTGACATTTATGGTCATGCTGGAGCTCTGTCTGATCATCGAGCGATGAATCCCCAACAATGTGCAATTTCAAAATACTCAATAATCTCAAAATGGGTGATTTTTTTGTTTTTAAATTCAGGCCCCAAGAGATCGTGATTGTTAATTGCCATTATTGACTCTCATATCAGTCTAGTTTATTAAAAAAAATGCTTATCTGTGCCAGCTCATTTAGGAAAAGTTCTCCATCTCCAATAAAAAATGTATTCAGTATAACTTTTTAAAAGGGAACAAATCCACAGATATGAGTAAATCGCTGGCAACAGAAATGTGCCAAAGCCTTGCTGGATAATACCCTCTCCCCTCGACACGGAACTGCCGGGAGTCTCTTAACTTCTATCGAATTGTTTGGGCACCTTTTGTCAGTCCACCTGTTAACACATAATACATGCTATAAAAATGGCCAGGATTTTGAAACAAACACACACACAACATTGAAAATAAAAAGTTTTAGGCAATGTAAAAAAAAAAATTGGTGATCATCCCTTTTGTCCAAAAAGGGAGGGTAGGGGGAGAGGTTTTTTTTTTGGGGAGGGGGTAAGAAATCTCCACGTTTGTTTAAATGACGGCAAGTTTATGCAGGACACTGGTACAGTCGAGCTGTCTTATTAAGAGGCCCTTGGGACTTGGTCGATTACCTTGTAATAACAGGAACCTTGTATTTATCGTAGGAATAAAAACCAGTGAAAAAGAAAGAAATGGAGCCTAAAAATGTCCTTAATATAATTAGCAGAATCTTGTATTAACAGTTCTCTTGTTAATGAAGATGGACTGTTTGTTTGTGCATGCAGTCGCAGCCGTAGCCAATAATTCAGCTGCGGCCGTGTCGGATTAGTCAGTGGTGCTGTTCTGTTTACTACCCTTTCCTAGTGTGCATGTCCAATAGATGGAACAGCCTCCGATCGAGAATGAACCGGTCTTGCGCGAATTCTCAGACCGAAGGGTAAGCTTGGGATCATTTATCGTGTAATTTTTTGGTGCCTTTTTTTTTACATTTTCCCCCTTTTTTGAAAAATAGAAAATTAAAAAAAGAATGGGTCGGAGGCATTTTGGAGGGTCAGGCGGGGATGATCACCGATTTATTTTTTTTTACATGGCCTAACCTGAGCTGAGAATTGCCACTCTAGAAAAACAGCACCAAAGATACACGCTGCCTTGTCAAAAATATGAAATCTTATACTTAGGTCTTGACTGCACCTGTCGTGCCTATGCTTACCCTGTCAGTGAAAAATTGTACTTTAAGTGCAAAATGCATTTTTTCAAAACTCTTGCATTAAGTTTCTACTTAGGTTGAAAAAATGAAAATACATGTGGACCTTATTCCTTAAAGTTGTTCTTTCCTGTCCTAGCCATTTCACATCGCTCGCGCCAGCAGAGCTACGAATTGAATAGCAGCGAAGAGGAACGTGAGTCAGGGTCTGGCGCAGAACATGCCGGGGCCGGTATCCCGGAAGTCAGCAAGCTGAACCAGCAGCCAATCAGCAACAAGAAGCAACAGACAGATAGACAGCATGACCCCAACAGGTATGGCCTTCAGTGTTAGGGTAAAATGTCTAATATTGCCGACGAGTTACAACCTGCCAAAAATGTAAAGAAACTCAGATTTGGGTTTTTTGGGGGGGAGGGGAGGGAAGACATATTTCTCCATGGAATTTTTTTCGAAATTGGGCCACCCCCGCAGTAAGGGAGAAACTTAATCCATCCTTTGCTTTGAAGGAAAGATGCGCAGTGATGTATTTGAAACAAATATAAAAGCTCTGTAGGTTTCCATGGTAACGCAAGAATGGGCCAGAATCGGCAAAGACTTACTTAACTCGCAAGATAACAAGAACTGTGTCTTGGAAATGAAATCATGACTCCAGAATCATGCTCATTTGTTGTAATATATCCTGTTTTTCTCGAGAGTAAGGTAGAATGGGGAAAACGGAGAAAGGGCTGTGTTTTGTGGAGAACAGTGAAAATGATTTAGTCATGTCAGTGGACTTAGGGAGTTAAAATTGTTTAGTGATTGTATGATGCTCAGAGGTATTTGTGAATAAAGTCTTAGTGCTAAAAATTGCACCCAGCGGCCAGCGCACCTCATAAAATACTGCTTTGGTATGCTTGTTAGGCAGTGAACATGTTGACTGTTTTCTAACATCCATAGACCTGTAACAGTGCACCAGTGCTGGGTCCATCATGTACGTAAAGTCCATAAACAGACAGAGACAGCTGGGCTGTCAAATTTCATAGCACAGTGCAGTATGTACATTTTACCGAGCCAGCCTCATAATAAGATGTGCATCATCTGTGTACACATCGTAATCTAATTAAGCATACCATACCGATATATATAGACTTGTAATAGTTCAATCGTTTATCCTGTACGCTTGTCTGGCTGTACATTAAGGGACCGCATGGCTTTCGATATCTCTCCTGGAAATTTCGAGATAGAGTTGGTAGTGCATTAAATATTCATGGTTGTGTGATGTGCCTTCAGGCATTTTTGTGGTAAATACGCTTAATAGACAACTCTTTCTGAAATCAAGCTTTACATTTCAGGGCCATTGTGAAAGTTGACTTCTTCATTTGTAAGCATGCATGGTGAAAATGACTAGTTGAAATATCATCGTCAGAGGTGCATGTAGGTGTCTTTTGTACACCTGCCAGCAGTTGATATCATCGAAACAGTCTCTTGGGGAGACATCTCGTGATTGAACCCCACCGCCTCTCAAGAAGTGTGCCGTTGACATCTGCGTGCCTAATTGCCCTACTTAAAACTGTACTTGAGGGCAGAATTTAATGCAGGTGTATCAAACTGCTTGGTCCGTTCTCTCATGAGAGGAAGCCTTTTCTTCCCTGAGGGAGTTTACGGTTTTTAAGTGCCCCAGGAACCTTTGAATTGCAGATTTGCCCTAGAAATGTTTAAGAGTGAGGCAGTCATGAAAAATTATAATTTTCTTTCTACACGGCGACCATCTTCCATTACATGGGCAAAGTATGATCAATTACATGTTAGTGTACGTGTACGTCTCATACTTAAGGCTGAATAGTGATTGTAGTGCAGTTTGGGAAACTGGTCCGTTCTTAAATTCTGTAAGCTGAACTGTGGTGCATGTATACGGCATTGACATTTAGACTTTGTCAGTCTTGGGTAATCCTTCTTGGGCGTGTTAGGAAAGGAACTGTTTCCATTGCAATTTCATGTTGAATTTCTGATGCCACATTTCTCTGAATGTGATCAGATGTGTACGTACATGTATGCACATGATACATGACGATGTTCATGTACATGGGTAGGTTTCGAGAACATCCATCCAGGCTGAAAAACATTCATCCGGAATTCGTCATTTGACATGTTTGAAGAACAACCCTCTCTCATAAATTTATCATGTCGACAGAAAAGTACATGACTTATTTATCAGGCAGGTCTTGCATTGGTCAACATCATTCAGTGTGTCTGAGTTGTTCATGTGAACACAGGTGCAAGTTATACTGTCCTTTTATAGCCTTGCTTTGCAGCAGTGATATGAGGAGACATTTAAGTCCTGCCAATTGAAACGGCGGCAGTCATCAAAACTGTAGCAGACTGCCATAAATGGGAATTTAAGTGAGCAACGGACAAACCAGGCATGTCACCTGATGTACAGTAGATTCTTCGTATTTATTTTCGGGGAAGGGGTGTGAGGAAGACCATATCCTACATGTAGCAACTACGTGCACATGCACAACATGTAGGTGGAGGCAATTTCATTCGGGGAATCATCAGCACTGCTAGACACCGGCAGCCGAAATCAATCATTCCTGAAAACCTTTCTGGACGTCCCTGGGAGATGGCCAGGTAATGGCGCCATGATTGAGCAAGGAGAAAAGGATCCATGGCCATTCTACATCCTCCCCCCTTCCTGCAAATGTACATGTTGATTGAATACCTAATTGAAAGAAGGGCCCAAATCCAACAAAACCCGTTTTGAGTTAAAAAAAACAACCACCGGAATATTTTTGAAGGAGTTGCAAAAGAAATCCATCAGATGTAACTCTCCTAGGCCAAAATGGTGGAATGTACAGTACATGTACGTGTAGGGCCTTTCTTTCAAAGAGGTCTTCAGCTGCTCTCTAAATTACTTAAATTATGCAAGGAAAGAACAAGTACATGTAAGTCCAGTGTTAAAACAAAAATTTGTATCCGTCCTCTTAATTCAAGCAACTATTTTTCTTTGTATGTCCTTTGTTTTTTCTGTGACCCTCATGATTCCCATCCAGCCAAACCTCCAACACCAGGGCCTGTTGGAATCTGTTAGGATGGGTACATGTACCGCTGACTGGTCTATGTGGGAATACCACAAATAAACAATCCATCTGTGCATGTGCACACTTTACATGTACAGGTATATTGCTTTGGCATTTGCAAGGATGAGGAAGGTTCCTCGTAAATCACTCTAGGAGGTTAGGGCTAGTGTATATCCTCCCACCTCTAAACTTGTACCTGTAACTGCTTCTCAATGTCTCCTGTCTACTGTTTTGTTTTTTTTTAGGCTTGTGAGCCACAGTGCCAAGGCTCTTTTGAAGAATTCTTGGCGATTGTTACCAGCGATGCACGCTTAAATTGATATTAATCATTCATTTATTGTCCACCTTCCTTTCCTTTTCCTGTCACAGATATCGCCTGCATTTTGAGAAGGATTCCAGAGCCGAAGTTGAGAGGAGAAAGAAGCAATCTATGCAGCCGTTTGAAGTCCTGCCTGAGGTAATGTCACGAGGTCACTGAGGGTGTATAGGATTAATCCCATGGCTCGCCAAATCTGGGCTCTCTGAATTTTTCTTCTCCTGTGTTTTCTTAAGTGAAAAGCACCATATTCATCAGTAGGGACATGTTACACCTGTACAGTTAAGCCCAACATTGTTCATACCATTCCAAATTCGAGCAACATAGAATTTACAGCCACAAGACCATAGAATTGACAACCAAAAGCATAGATCTTTGTCCAGATCAGCTTTTGGAAATACTAGTTTTTGTGAGCCTGGGTTGACCGTCAGTCCAGTTCAGATGTTTGAACAAAGTAACAAACTGCCACATTTTTCAAAAGAGTTAGAATAATTTGGGGCTCAACGGCAGGCAACAAAATTCTCAAAATGAGATCCTGCGGCTTTAATGTGTCACATGACTTCACCTTAAAATTGCACTTTTCACAGGCCAATATTTAAGGAACCACACGTCAGAGTGAAAGTTGGTATGTTTACAGGCCGGGGCATGTTAAAGTAACGCTACTGTGAAGTTCTGATGATGTCACCACTTGTTATGTAGCATCATCTTAAAATTGCATATTCATTAGGCCAGTTTTGACGAAGATACCACTGTCAAAACTGTCACCCATGTGAATACTTAACCCCCCCCAAAAAACAAGCTGTTTGTTCATCATGTGACAAAGTCATATTTATTATTTACAAAGTTTTCATGAAAACAACCAAATGAACCCATGTTTTCAATGTTAGATGTATGTCTACATGTTATGCACACATAGAGAGAAGTCCTGTTTTTCAGACTAAATGTTCTCTTTCTTTTTCAGTTTTTAAATTGTTCACATTTCAAATGTATTTTGCGTGGACGTACATGCACCGGTTTACACTGGTGCACATGCACCTGTTTACACTGGTGCATATGTACCGGTACCAGTATGTAGCTGTTCATGTAAAACACAGTAAAACATGAAATCACAAAAGAACACCGTGGTTTCCACCAGCTAAATTGCCAAAATCCGACCTTTAGTTTGGTGAGATTGTCAAGAGTGCGCCGCACTTTGATGTCGCTTTCCGTGAGGTCCAGTGTCCACATTTTGTTTAGAGTGCAAAACGTGCATTAGCAATTCACAGGCCCTGAAGAAATGCTCAAGATGTTAATGTCGAGAATTAATACAGCATGACGGAAGGAGCGTCCACGACCACCTAGGGCGTTTGCTTTGAAAGTATTGTTGATGTGTGTGCAATGGGGCCTGGTGCTCATGTGAGACAAGGATAGGGATCATCAGGGAGGCTGTCGTCAAGGGGCCTGACTTGAGTAATTGGATGTAGAGCAGGTGATCCATATCACACTGCAAGTTTCTTGACATCCGGTCCTCTAGGCACGTTCGTGTTGACGCTACGCCAGCAGCGGGCTCCCCACTGCATCGTGGCGCTCTCTCTCTCTTTCTTTCTTTCTTGGTCGGATTGAGTCTTGTTTTCCCGGACGCAGCATTGCTGATGGATTGTCGAGATTTACATCTGCACAGATTTGAGCAGCATTATTCCCAAGTCGGGCATTGGACATTGATGAGCAAACGGCCGACGCAAGACTGAAGGTGTTAATGTCAGCGCGGACGGAACCGGTGACGTCATTGGTCATAGCCGCTGTTGCAATCCACCTAACATTCCAAACTGATCATCTCATTACAGACAGTATGAAGCCAGTCGAAAGACATCCACTGACAACTACCGGCACAAATTGCAGGGTAACAAAAATCATATAAGAGAGGTCAAAGCAAAACCACTTCATAACAATTCAAGGACCTTTTCAGGGTTCAACAAAGTGGGCTAGAGAAGTACGTACCTTGATAAAGATTGATAATTAAATCAATTGGAAATTACCCGTGGTAATTACATGTACATTGTTCCCATATGGAGATGGCATATTTCCCTGTTTCTACACGTATGCCTGCTTCTATCCCTGTCACTAGAAACCCACACATTTGTGGATTGTAATATTAACCCGCAGAAAACAAACCCAGACACCCCTCACTCGTCAGCTTGTCCTCTCTCCCCCCTCATAAAAAAACATGTGGTGTCCACCAACATGTCAACCAACAAAACTCTCACGCAACCAAAGAGAAACCACATGAAAGAGTGGAGGTTTTTTTTTGCACATGGAGTCTGTCTTGATCACAGGCCGCCTGGCCGGTTGAAACGGGATCCACCAATGAGGAGGTTATCATCACGATGTACCATCTATGGGCTGTCTCTTGAGAATCATGAGGACTCAATCTGTGGGACTGCGGTTACACATTAAACACTAAAACCTGTTTGCACTTGGCTGTTGCCCGCCCAGGTATTTTGCAGGAGAACGCTCTCTGCAGACATTGCCAGGGTCTGCCTACACACTGTACGTGTGCACCAAATAAAAGCGGGAATGCGCTCACAGCGGAGTTTTGCTTCCAATAATTGCAGTTATTGCCGTGTCCAAAAAATGGCAACATTTTGTCTCAAATGTACTTGAGCTGCCTGCATTTTAACAATTATACAGTCCATCATTTGCAGTTACCCAAAGCTTGACCGATGACATTTTTCTTGAAAAGCCTACTTGCTTAAAAAAGAGAGTCATGGGACTAAACTGCTCATGAAATTATGCTTTCCGGCACTGTCATGTTAAAGAAAACAATGAAAGGTGGCAATTTCCAAAACACTGGAGGCGGAGGGGGGGGCAGTTTCCCCCTCCCACTTTTTTCGACTGGGGGCATGGCCCCTCGCTTTTTGCAGGGCCTGTAATGGAGTGGGGCTTAATGGATCGGCCTATTAGTGGCTGATGCCTGGTGGTCTTACATGTCATCTCCTCCCCCCTTGAAAATTGTTCTGCTGCCGCTGGTCTAAAGGTTGTTGGAAAATTGTCATTAGCAGTTCGTTTTTAATTCAGCAAAGCGTGGGCACACATGTTGACACTACACACGCTCTGGCGGTTACTACACCATACTTTGTCAGTTCAGTGTGCAACATCGCATCTAAGCTGTCGCCTGGCATTCGCTGAGTTGAAGTGTCATCAGTTTAGATGTTGCTCGGCCCCTTTTTAGTGTTTGAGCACTTTTTTTGCCTCAAATGAACGTGATGCACAGTTGACAAATGATGTACTCTGCCTTAAAGTGCCAAAACAGCCTCGCCAGTCACAAAAAACAGGACGGCGGTCGGCGGCTACACAGCACAGCTGCCGCTGTGGATAACAGCGACGCTCAGGATGTTAATTTGCCAGACTCACAGAGGGGGTTCGCACTTGGATTATTAACTCACATTTGAGAGCACTTCATCACCAGCTCCTCAGGGAGACCACAGAGCACAGCTTGTAATGGGTTCCCTAGACATGTTTGCTCTTGGTGATGGTTAGGCCTGGTTTAAGACTGGCAAGGTTTGAAGGGAGGGAGATGCTCAGAGGAAAATGCCATTTGGGTGGGAAGAAGTTAGGGTGGTTAGCTTTGATTATGCTCATCTGAATGAAATTCCCAAGAAAATGTCATGTTTGGAATAAAGGGAGACTTCGCGGAGCGATTGGTTTGTGTCGTTCTTACGTCGTCATCAGGTGCTGGAGTGAATTCTCGCAGTCGGTGTATAAGTGAGTGGCCCTTGGCTAGCACCCGTTAGCACTTCTTCAATGATTTCTCGCTTCACCTGCAAAACTGTGCAGTAGTTCAGATTACCATTTTTTCTCCCCCTACCTTATTGACGGAGTGCTCCATACTTACTGCACTCAGCGCTTACCGTGTGGGCAGTACCCATTCAATCACAACCAAAATTCAATCAGTTCTCATGTCAGGAAGGGTGATTGTGGATAGCTGTTTCCCGAGGACATATTCACTCGCTGATGCAGGAAAGAGATTATTGCTCGAAGACACGACTCGACAAGGAGCCCAATTCAACTATCTGTACGTTGTATATGTATTAATGGAAGGAAAGTCAGGCAGTGGGGCCAATTCATCTCTGGAGAGTAACATTGCGTCCGTATTTGGGGGAGGGGAATGAAATTCACCCCCCCCCATTAAAAAAAAAAAGCGATTGCATTTTTCAAATAAACCATGTTTTTTTCTGCTGAACCAAACCATGATTTCACTTCACTTTACATGGGAAAACTTCAATCAGTTTTACAATACTGACGTGTACATAAGTTTTTACATGTTCTATGCACCTTACAAGGAGTTTAAAGTACATGTACTGTACATGTAGGCTCATACTTGATGGGAGTGCATATTTGTTAGATCGGGGGATTGGCAAAATATCGAACAGATTTTGACTCGGGCAGATTTCACCGTAATTGCTCCGTGACGCCATTTCACGTTCCCATCTTTCGTTTGCACTGAGCATCGAATAGGGCTGTTTTCTGCATGTAAATTGTCCATGCACAATTGAGCACAATGAGCTGTCCAGCCCGGGAAGTCATTGTTTACTGTAGGTATCCATTCTACACGGAGACTCATCAGTCTGAAATTTCAAATTAACGATGTGCCACACCATCATTTAATACATGTATACATGTACTGTACAGTAATCATACACTGTTACATGTAAGTGCAACTTACGCTGTCTTCTGCAGGGATAGTAATTAGTGTGAAATATTGACTGAATATTTGAAAGTGATTCTGAATGATCTCCTCCTCTTGACCTATGTGAGGAGGATCAAAAATTAAACACGTGTGATTTTTGTCATGTCTACCGCTGGGGATGCATGGCATCTGAAATTGAAGCCGAACTTGATGTAAATTAATGTGCAGGATGCCTCAATGCCCATGTACGGTACGCGGACTGGTATATCTGCTCAATTTTTCATTCCACCCCTGTCACTCCGGCTTAAAGGAGAACCGTGAGCCTCACGAAGCAGGGGAAAAAAGCCTTGTGAATGGAAAATTCAGTCTTTACACACTGCTGTGAATGTGGCATTTGGGAGTTATACAACTGTCCAAAGTACATGTACCTTGTGGAGGCGATGTTGGTGTCTCTGTGAAGGTCTGCCGGCAGGATCAGATTGTGGATGAATTTATAATTCCCATGCTTGAAATGGCAATAATACCTCAGCCTGTTCCGCGTGCACCAAGGCCCAGGTCATTAGTGCTTCAGCTGTAATGCACGTTACATGTACGTAATGTAATTAAATGCTGATTAAATCTGGCATGTGGGAGGGGAGGGAGTAGCACTCTCTTCTCCCCCACCCTTTAAAATCGCGAAAAGTGCACAAATTTGACCTCGGTTCATTGGCTTTGTTGACCGGCTGACAAAAAAAAAAAATATGTGAACCCTGGGGTTTACCCAAGAAATTTTTCACCCTGTCATTGATCGACGGAAATGACGAGGAATTCATTTCAAAATAATGCCTTGCTCCCGTGGTTTTTTTTTCAATGCCTCATTTTTTGTACTTGAAAAATCTCTGTCTTTGCTGTGCTCATGCGGAGGTACTTGCCGCTGGATCTTTTCACCTTTGATCCATTGAAATTCTCGTTTGCTATCACCGCAGATAGACACTGTGCTTGCTTAACGGTGCCCGAGGCTTTGTTCCTAGATGAATGCCTATCGACATGCACACTCAGGGCGCGATCATTTAATTTAATGCATGAGTCATCGGACCGTGATTTCAATGGTAAAAATATGCATTTTGCAGGTGATTTTTGTAAACATATTTTTATGGTTCATGAGTACAATTGTACATGTACATGTTGTTGCTGCGTAACTTTGTCGCTACTGGAGCGACGTCTTCATTTCTTCATCCCCTTTAATTTACCAACGATTTAAGTAAATTACATGTCATACCAAACATTTTAAAAATGAGTTTAAAGCACACCAGGTACATGTATACCAGAGATGTGACCTTCATGCTTCTCAGATTTATCCCAAAAGCCAGTTGCATTTTTTTTGGGGGGGGGAGGGTTGGGAGAAGATCATTTAACTGTTGTAGTGTTAAAGTCCAAGCACTGCTTAGCTATATCTCAGCTATGTTGTATATTGACTGCATCCAATTATTACAGCTGTCTCTGGAAATACCATTGGCAGTGATGGAAGCAGCTACCCGTAGCCAGTAGCCTTAGACATGCACATTAGTGTTGTAGGTCTTGATACTTTTTTTTCTGGTCTCGGTCTCGGTCTTGGACTTTAAGGTCTCGGTCTCGGACCATCAGGTCTCGGTCTCGGACTTCCAGGTCTTAACTACAACACTGATGCAGACATGCCTGTCTTGGCTATCCATAGCCAGTGATGCATGTGGGGGGTGCTCTTTTGACCTCTAGCAAGGGATGAACTAATGTAAATAGTTATTAGTATTCCGTGTTCCTCTATATTTGCATGTATAAATATTCTATTTACCTAAGTGAGGAAAATGGAATTGAACATGGTACGTACATGTAGATAGATTGAAGGAATTCAGTACAGTTTTAGAATTGAGGGTATTGGTATTCATCATTTATATGGTCGGGTGTCGGGGCTAGACTTAAATGTTCTGGCATCCAGCACCCTTGGCTGCAGCAAGCAGTTAAAGCCTAGATCCCACAAAATGAGTCTTGGGGCAATTTGTCCATTGTGCTGTCTCATCAGCTTTGCTTCAGAGAGAGAAAACTGAGTTCTTTGTTTTGGCATATTATTCCGTTTGGCATCTCAATGAAAATGGGTGTTACATTGGCACAAAGTGTCAAAGGTCTTGTCGATTTACATGGTGCATATTCGAAGGTTATTTTAAAGGCCCTTAACTCACCAATGGCTCTGGTGACTTGCACCTCATGTTGTGTCAGTCACAGGCTACCGTAGCCGTCACAGGCTACCGTAGCCTCCACAGGCACGTTTGTTACTGTCGGCATCTGCAGCCAAGGATATACCTGTTGAGGTCTTAAACCAACTCAGCACGTTTTCCCAATCTTCCCCCCTCCCCCCACCCCGTCTCCCGGCAGGTAGCCCTCGAGGTGGACCTGGAGGACATCTACCGGCCTGGCTCGGCGCTGGACATGCCCAAGCGGCCCACCTGGGATTACAGCCTCAGCAAGGAGCAGGTGGAGGCTCGAGAGGAGGCCATGTTCCAGGAATACCTGCAGAACATCTTCACCAAGTACTCCTCCAGGCAGCTCAGCTACTTCGAAATCAACTTGGAGGTGATTGACAGTACATGTAGTTATCTTCTTTGATTTTTGAAAACATTTCGATTTGATTTACAACCACTGTTATTACAGAATAATCTTCAAAATTCATAAAGAATTTTGTGAGTTAAATTTTAAGAAACAGTGAAGCATTTCATTTAAAGAGCTCCTCTAAGGAAAACATGTTTTCTCTGATTTTATCTGTTACAATAAATATGCATGTAGCCATTGTTTGGCATGCTCAAGGGTTTATCCACTACAAACACAGGGTGAGGGTTCCCCTCATTTTCTCTGTTTTCCCAGAATGATGCAGTCTACGCTCAGAAATCGCATCTTGGCATGAACAGAAAAAAAGCCATTTTTAGCTTGTTATAGTTTAGTTCTGAAGACAAACAACACTGCATTTGATTTGGATTCTTCCATATTTATTTGAATAGATAAAAATCAAAGAAAGTATGTTTTCTTTAGAGGTGCTCTGTTAAGGTTCATCATGTGAGCACAAGGATTTCAAATGCAAACGGACTCATGCACGCATTTTTAGAATTCACTTTGGGGCCATTAATAAAGTGATTATTTTAGTTAACAGAAATCTTGTAACTTCGTTCTCAAGTATGATGAAAACTTCATTAATATGAAAGAAATTAAGTTTAATAAGACATTTACATAGATTCACTGTTCAATTCAAAACTTTTACGCAATACACCCTAGCTTTAAGCACTTCCTTACCTGCTTACCAACACAAAATATACAGGCTGAAGATACTGGCAGAAGTTTTCGAATAGACTACATTCAAAGAGGAATTTGGCCGTATGTGCTCTGCATGCCTCTCACCTAACCTGTAAGGCACACAGTGAGTTCCCACCAAAGAACCAGCGTTGCATTGTAAAAGCATGCTTTCTGTAGAGGCTTTGCATAAAAGCCATTCTGCAGGGCAATTTGTTCCACAGGGAAACCTCCTTTGTGCATACATGTACCCTGTGGAACAAAGGCACTGGCCTATAAGATGGCAGCCACGCAAACCCTCTATTGTTCCTGCATGGAGTAGATAGCTCAAGCTCTTTCTCGGGCAAAAGTGTATGGTAAGTTTTTAGTATCTAGGTTAATATTGTAAGTGGAAAATCTTTGTTGTCAATTTTCCACCCTCTGCTTCTGATACACCCTTCACCAGACGTGGAGGCAGCTATGGCGAGTCCTAGAGATGTCCGACATCATCCTCCTGATCACCGACATCCGCCACCCGGCCCTCCACTTCTCGCCGGCCCTCTACGACTACGTCACCCGGGACCTTCGCAAGCACCTGATCCTGGTGCTGAACAAGATCGATTTGGCCCCGCCCCCGCTGGTGGTGGCCTGGCTCAGCTACCTGAAAGAGAAGTTCCCTGACGTCCACGTGGTCTGCTTCACGTCCTTCCCCCGGGAGAACCTGATGCCCAACAGCGTCGACCCAGGAAAAGGTGAGAGCATTGGTCAGAGCCGGTATTTAATCAGGAAGTGATGCTAGTTATAGAAACAATAAGAAGACCAGAATTCGGCAACATGGTCCTCTGCCGACCCATAGGAGCAGGCGCCTACAGGCCATGCAACAGCTTTCAGTGACATCATGATGATCATGATGATAGCACTGAGTCAGTTCTGTGTTTCAACTACGCATACAAAATCCAGTGCATAATTGTAGGGGTCGGGGACCTCTTTTGTTGTCAGAATTTTAAGACCTGTGGGCCAAGTCCGATCAGCAACCTCGTTTCCACCACTGGTCAATTCTGCCTGCTAACATGAAATACACCATGCACCAGGAAATATCAACTGATGGTTGACAAGTGGCTTAGGGTATTTGCTGGCAAAGTCCTGTAAAAAGCAGAAGGTTTTGCAGCGAGTATAACCAAGTTTGTTTTTGCGGAGAGATTAAATGTATTGCTGCTAAATATTTGTGAACGAGTAAGTTGTTCCGAATATCTTGTCAAACTTTTCCCATGGCAACAGTAGCATCTATGCTGGGGTGCAGTCAGTCTTTAGTTTTTTCCTCTACTTTAGACGACTTGCCCAAAGGTCATGCCAACCTAATATCTCAGACATATTCCTTGAAGACAAATAACATGTTCTGAACGTGTTATTTTACATTGTCAGTGCTACATCGCAGGAGACGAAAAGGAGCTTATACCGCTGTTGGTCCTATGCAACTACTCAAAGCCTGCCAGACTATTTGCCAAGGACGAGGTAGGTAGAACAGCCAGCAACCTGTTAGGCAGTGTGCCTCCTCACTAGCCATGGAGTTTGCTTTAGGCTGTGGAATTTGCCGAAGGCTGTCGCACAGTTTTCTGAGTAAACGGTCGATCCATCATGCCTCCTACTGTCTAAACAGTCGCAGACAGTCCAAAATATAATCCAGTGTCCGTGCTACTCAATGTATACATGTAAACAGATCACATATCACTTGGTTGGTTTTGACTGCAGCGCTGGGACAGCTTTGTCAAATTTGTAGGCTAGAGGAAGGAGAGGGAGGAACGAGAAGGGAGGGGGGGATCGAAGCCATTTTGACAAATCTTGGCTGTGTTTCCGGCTTTGTCTTCATCTTAGACCCAAAACCATCAGTAAGACAAATATTAGCCTTTCCGTTGAGAGGGATCTTTGAAGAGTCAGAGTTTCCAATACTAGGGGCTTAGAATGAGTAAGTTGGAGCCCAGAGCCAAAGTTAAGGCCAAAACCGAGCACACATTTTTCTCAGTTATGAATACAAATTGAATGCCCGTAAATGAAATGCAGGATTTTTTGGGGGACATGCTGTGAACAGTTCCTTCTTCACAGTTAACCTGAGCAGTTGGAGGGAAAAGATAGAGGCGGAGCTCAGGGGAGAGGAGGGGCTGGCGGCCAAGATCATTGAGAGCACCGATGGCGAGACTATGCAGGACACGAGCTTTTCAGAGCACGAGTTTTTCAAGGATGGAGTGCTGACGATAGGATGTGTAGGTAAGAATTTTAACCAAAGGAAGGAGAAACCACAGCTCCATTGACCTGACCAAATCCTTAATTTGAATGTACCGATGTTTGTCATTCAAAATCACCAATGGATCATCGGATGCAGTCAGGACACTCTTAGCAAAAGTACTTGCAGGGAGTCTGGTTGGCATGGTGGTTCTTTCCTCGCCTTCCACCTCTGTGACCCAGGTTCGATTCCTGGCTTGGTCCACATTTGGATTGGGTTTTCAGTCCCTACCTGATTCCATGGGTTTTACTCAGAATATTCCTCTGGGGTTTTCCTCCCACCTCTAAAACTGTAACTGCTTCTTATTGTCTCTCCACAGGTGTCTTCAGGCTTGCAAGCTACAGTGCCAAGGGCACTTTTGAGGAATTTTTGGTTTCATTTACTAGAAAGACTTAATAATAATAAAACCCAGTCAAGTCAATTTTGGTTTTTACACGTACTTTGATTTTGAAATCCTGTCGTGTTTTTTGGTGATAAACTTAAGGCATGCAGTTGGCCTCCACCACATTCCACTGGACTCTGTTCGTACTCAGGTTGGCCATTAAGAAACTTTTGCCAGTGGTCTCTATCCACCTTGAGCAGAAGCAGCTCCCTCATTGGTTGAAAAGAGCCATGCCGGTCAGGAGTGCTAGTTCTGTTGGTAGCGAGGCGCACACACCGTGTGCATCTCATAAGCGTTCGTGAACCAGCACAGTGAAGTTCATACCAAAGGAGCCTCCGTTGCTGGGAAACTTGCACCCTCTCAATGCAAAGCTAGTTTTGTCTTTCAGTTCACCTCGGCTTAAGTAGATAAAGTGTTCCTCAGAAAAATAGAGCTCATTTAAAAGAAGAGAGATCAGCCATAGATTGGGCATTCACAAGATTGTATACCTTTGGGTATAAAAATGAATGTAGCTTATTTCAGTTTGGTTTTCTTTAGCCTGCATATTTTGTTTGTATTCTGTTGTTTTTATTCTGAGTGTGTTCGATTTCGTCCTAAGTTTTTCTTTTGTTTTCTTGGCTTCAATTTGATGAATCCTGACTGATTGGTTTGTTTTGTGTACTTCCACTTTTTCCATTTTATACAAGGTGTTGTTTCGGTCAAGAAAATGATAGAGATAATCATCTCGCATTTTGGTTCATCTCCTAACCTGAAGGTCACCCCAACGTTGGCAAGTCGTCCCTCATGAACGGTCTGTGCGGCCGGAAGGTGGTCAGCACCTCACGGACGCCCGGACACACCAAGCACTTTCAGACCATCTTCTTGACCCCCACCGTCAAGATGTGCGACTCCCCTGGCCTGGTGTTCCCGTCCCTAGTCGACAGACAACTCCAGGTCGGTGCTGGGGAGAATGCCATTTGTGCCACCGAGCATTTAGCTCGGCGGCACGTGAAACGCCTGCATGTGCATGAGCAGGATTGTGATTTTTCAAGAATTGTCCACATTTATATGGCCCATACGTTCTGGATTAGAGGTTTAATCATTGAGGGGATTCTTTTGTTTTGCATATTGTATAGAAAAAATCCAAGTTTAAGATTCACAGAATTGTAGCAGTTTTCCATTGGACTCATGCCTTGTTAGTTAATGAGGGCCTGAAAAGCCACATTTTTTTTAGTTTTAGTGTTGACAGATGTTTTGTGGAATATTCGTCGTTCATGCTAGTTTGTGCCTTTGTTGTGAAATTTTGTGCTAGAGTTATTGTATTTCAAGAATACTGACGATGCCGTATGAAATACAGATAGGGACATGTGTAATTTAACTTGGCTGTGATTGGAGCCACGCACACACAGACATGTTGAAGCCACAGGCTAGCGGCTTCATCTATTCCCCATAGACTCATGCATTATTTTCAACCGTAGCCCAGTAAATCGGATGCGGCTTTGGCCGGGCTCACATTTTTTTTTCCCCCTCCCGACGGTCTGGTTGCAGATCCTGTCGGGCATGTATCCCATAGCCCAGGTCCAGGAGCCGTACACCTGCGTGGGCTATTTGGCCCAGCGGGTCAACCTCATCCCCATCCTGAAGATCAAGCACCCACTGTACGGGAACAAACCCGAGGAGAGAGAAAGTGAGGAGTGGTCAGCGTGGGATATATGCGAAGGTAACCGCTCCAAATTCATTGGCTAGTTCCCAAGTTGTCCTGTCCTCTCAAAGAGTGGATTAAAGGGGGGCGGGATCTGGAGGAATGGGGGCCATCTCCCCTTCCCCCAAATAATGGAGCCCAAAAAGTCTTTTTGAGGTAAAAAAATACAGAGGCAATTTCTTGCAAGCTGTCACTTCCTTTCCTTCCCAAAGCATGTAAAAAAGGCCTCTTATCCAGAAAGGTCTGAAAAAGTTACATGAGAAAAGTTCCTAGATACTTGACCCCCTTTAGGAAAACATTGCAGGCCCTACAGTTGAAGTGTAGAGCTATTTTTTGAGAGCAAGGTCCACATGCCTGCTGAGGAACAGAGAGGCCTAATACCCATAATGAACCTTGCAGCTAATTTGGCGGGTTCCCCTAGAGACTTAACACAGACCTGGATCCCAGCTTCTGCATCACTGAAACCTGGCCACACCACTGCCCTTTCCTTTGTTCCCGACAGCGTGGGCTGAAAAGCGCGGGTTTATGACCACCAAGGCAGCAAGGCACGACGTCTACCGGGCAGCTAACAACCTCCTACGATTGGCCGTGGAAGGCAGGCTGTGTCTATGCATGCGGCCGCCGGGCTATACCAACCAGAAAGGTTTGTGGCAGTCGTCTCCACAAGTTGTTCAAGTAATTGCCGATACAAATTGTTTTTAATCAAAATGTAAGCTGACTGCCTTGCTTAACCCCTTCACGCCGGGATTCTTTTGACCGTGACTGCTGGGCTGTGGTATGCCCAGTATGCAAAGCTCTGTCCAGCAGCAGGCCCCATTGAACCAGCAGCTGCATGGTGAATAGAATGTATATGTGGTATGCACTAATCCTCACACTGCGCCGCGGCTCTTGCCGTCTCCTGGAGCGAAGGGGTTAAACTTGTGACTGTATCGGAACAGACCAACGGAGGGTCAAAATCAATGAAAGGAGACCAGAGTTGTAGAACATCAAAGGTCCAACACATGTCCATCACAGGCCATCTATAAATGAACCTTTACAAAAGTTATTTTAAAAATAGTATATGATATATGATAACACTCTGATAATATACTCTGAGTATATGATAACACTCTGATAATATACTCTGAGTATATGATAACACTCTGATAATATACGCGGAGTATATGATAATACTCTGATAATAGTAATATAATATTACTTTACAAGTAATGAGGGTAAATATTCATTTTGAGGCGAAGTCTACCTCTAAAGGTTATATTCCTGCAAAGTTTGGTCACTCAAATTGAAGGTGATATGAAAGAGGTCTGTTTGAATCTTGATGAAAAACGGGAAGTGCTAGAGGGTTTTGGGGGGCAGTGTGGAGAGTATTAGACAGGCAAGGCACTCTGGGGTGGTTCAGGGTCTAATGGGTTTGTCGTCGTAATCTGTGGCAGAGCGATGGGAGCAACACCCGGAGACACTGGAGATCGCCAAGCTCCAGGAACAGCACAAGCAGCTCAACGCGGAGGAGGTTGACCAGTCAGAGTTCACCAGCTCCACGGAGGAGAACAGCGACGCGGACGTGGAGAGCAACGAGCCTGAACGGGACACGGACACGCGCCGGCGGCGGAGGCGGATGAAGGCCAGGGAGGATTCGGAGGGCGACCGGGGGCTGGTGGCCACCAGCAACAAGTTTGCGCTGCTGTCGGCCGAGTGACGAGTGATGCTCGAGATTCGAGACGATTTTGGGGAGCAGGCATCACTGTGGCAAGTTCGAGCACCGGTGAATATGTTTTTCTTGGAAACAAGGCTGTGGTGTTGGAAGGAACACATGATGTCATTTTCGCAAAGGAAGCAGGTCCTGGAAGAAACAGTTGGAAGAAATATATCAATGCTGGCACTCCACAGATTAAAACCCCGCCTGCCGAGTTTTTAGACAGTTCACCCAAGATGAGGGATTCAGGACAAAGAAAAACAAAGACAAGGTGGATAAGAGAGGAAGGAAGTTGTGTTGCGTTCAGCGCCAAAGATGGCTGCATTTGAACTGGAATACTGTTGAAAATGTTTTCAGAAAGAATGCACAAGGCATCATCAGTTAAGCCAAGAGGAACTTTAACGGATTCACATCGGCTTGAGATTACAACATTTGAATTTCTACCGCACTCTAGCTTGGGGTGTAATGCATCGTAATGCCATTTGTGTTTTTCTTGTCTTTTTTTTTTTTTTTTTTTACAACAACATGCAAGAAAATCAGGGAATTGAGCAAGAGTTTTCAATAATTTATTGACTGCTGTGACTGCAGGTCTGAGAGGCAGAGGTCGCTTTTTTACAACTAAGAATCCCCTGAGTTTAGATGAACTGCCACTCGGCAGAAAACCTGGTTTCTGTTGCTCTGGTTTGGATGAACTTGCAATGCTTGTACCACTAATTTCAACACTGGCTTTATCATCAGTATTCAGTGCAATCTCAACCCTCAAGTGAGATCACTCGTAGTTTTCAGTTCACCGTGTATTTACCACAGTGAGGCTGGACAAACAAGCCTTCGGTTTGCACAGTTTGATATTTCTCTGCACAGTTTGCAAAAAAAGGCCTAATATTTCAAGTATAGCATTTTAAAAATCTGGAATTTCAAACATTTCTTCCTTAGGTACTGGTAGTGAAATAGCCGCCAAAGGCTGAAGAGAGCAGTGGATAGGTATTGAAATGGCAGTTGGCCAGCATGGACTGGTCGAGTTCACAACCACATCGTTCTGGGTTATCACAACGAAAAGTTCAAACAGTAGGGGCCAGTTAGGAAATGCGGCTTGCACTTGTTGGAAATAGATGTGTGCAAAATTGCAGTACGTGGGCTTTTTTTTTTTCCTTTGTGTATTCAAAGACACATACCTAGTACATGTAAATGAAAGCGATTCTCACCTCTCACCAAAAATATTATACCTGGCACGGTTTCCAGCACAGTTGGTTTGGAGTGCGGAATGAGGCACTGGCTAGCGCAGCCTTTGGCAAAGTTTGTACTTGCAAACCAGGGAAGGGACTTGAATCATTGTCCATTTGAATCTTAGCTGATGGTGGTTATTATCCTGCTACTTTTAACCAATCAAAGATTTTCAGATTGTCAGTGTCAATTATATTTGGAAGAGAGTTAAAACTGTCTGGGCAATACAGACTTTTGAAGCAATCAACTGTGTATTCATGGAGAAGTCCAAAGCTTTACCTCCAGAAAGCCCTTAATAATTCCAGTTGTTTGTAACTGTATTATATGATTGATGGAAGTAGAATTGAAGAAAGGGGCCCTCGAGATCTCTGCATTTTGGGGGGAAAATGCTTAGATTGATGGGGTTTTTGTGAGACGGGCGAAAAAGAGTTTGTATTACGGTTACGATATACATGTCTGGATTGAAAAGATCTGTATCACTTGTACATGTAAAAGATTGGATTTACACGAAAGTCGTGATATTTGATGCATGGGCTCTATCACATCTTTCTTTGCAGGAATAACAGGTGCTTGGAAATATTTGCGAAAAAGTCAAAAGAGTATCTAAAAAGGCAGGTATACTTAGGGGAGATAAGATTGTTGGAGGTCAATTTATATGAGAGTATCTTTGTCTTAAACATTGGAAGACCGTGAGGGTGGACAGCTGTTGAATTTCTTGTTCATATTCTGATATCTAAGAACTTCAGTGCTCCAGTGCCTTTTTTTCACGGTCATTTACGTGTTTGTTTCTTAGAACATTTCATTATGCTATGATGACGGGGGAGGGGGGGGCAAGTTAGGTCCAGTCCCAGTAAACTGGCTGTGGCTAGGAGTAGCTCACTTGTCTATTGAGAATTGCTGTCAGCCGCTTGCCAGTGGCACAGCCATAGCTTTCGCCAATGGCTTTACCACACTAACAGCTGGTCTTTCTTAGAGTCTCGCGTTGGACGTGCGGATTGTTGGTGTCCATAGGCAAGACACTTTACACTAATTTCCTCTTTCCCACCGTGACAACAGTGTTGGTGGATGCAAAACTGTCAAGTTTCATGGGGACAAATTTTGTAGTCGTTGAACCAGGTTCTCGTTGCACAGATTGATGTAGTGCCGTATTTTGGTTGCAGAGGTCACCGTTAATTAGGTTCGCTCAACCGCATATTAATCGTTTCAAGCTAACCGTCCTAACTGCCTCCACTCGCCCCTTTTCGGGATTTTCAGGAGCTACGACTTGAACCTCTTGCATTTTTTTTCACAGTCTCAGTGCTCACATTCAGTGCTTTGACCTCAGAGTTCAATAAGAAATTAAGCCCCGCATTTGCCATTAATGTTATACGTAATGTTTTTTTTTTCAAAATTTAAACGAAAATAAAATGTGCTGCAATAGTTTACCTAAGTTTTGTGTCGATCACAATTTGAAATGTTCTTGCTTACTTTTATAAAATTAGCGTTAATAGAGGAATAATGCAAAACAGTACTTACTCCAGTTGTTTGATTGATTATGCAACATCATTTTGGCAACGAACTATTGTGAACATTTAATTTGAAATTGGATGACCAGAAAGAGTCATATTAAAGACGCGAGTGTATGTTTACCTTGAACAGGGATATTCAACCGCCAACCGATTTCTTTAATCTTAACTCTTGAAATTTGTGCAATGTGGTGTCATTTGAACTGGAAAGTGTAGTGCAAACCAAACGCGCACATGTTGGTTCTCCGGTTAATGCCATTTACACATAGTTTTAGCGCCTATAGGGGTTGTGCATGGCAGCCATCTTTCCGGCAACTGCTTTTGTCGCGGAGGGATAGTAAACTCATGTGTATCGCTGTGAAATAAAAGCTCTGACAGGAAAATGGCTGCCATGCAGAACTTCTATACGAAAATACAATGTGCGCCACGAAACACAAAAACCAACAAACACGCACATTCAACCAAAGTTTTTGTAACAGTCTTTTGTAACTAATGAATGCTGTCACTTACTGGCGACAGGCACACGTCCGTTGTGAAGAGACCTTGACGCCGTCGGAATAAGACTCTAGCCCTACAAAATGGGTATACGTGTATTTGTACCTATAGGGTGGAGTGGGGGTCTACGTGTGGAACAAGGGTGCCCAGGACTGACCTAATCCAGCCCCGGAGGAACCTTGAAAGTGGATCACAGCGACGCACATTCTGAACAGATATCTACTGCATGGGTCCCGCCCTCTCGTGACACGCCCCCAAATGTAAATCACTGCTCAAGTGCCCTTTTCAAGAGTCCACTAACTCGCACAGTGCTTTACTATTCCCAACCCTACCCTGTTCATTGTATTCCTGATTCCTTGAAACCCTTACCACATCCGTGACTCATTTCATTAAATTGTTATACCGGGCAAGATATGGGATGGAGGGGTACCCCCTAACCTGTCAAATCCCAATACAGACTCTAGACTATTGTTATCTAGCACATCCCCTCTACAGGTCTGTAAAGAATTGCTGAGATTCCGATCAAAACAACACAAAGACGGGGAGGGTTCTCTCCCATGTCTTGCTTCAAATGTAAATTGTAGATTCCTTGCCTATCCTTAATCCTATCGCAGTATCGGCTTATACGCTCATTCCCAGTTCCTTATCCCTATCCGTACACCATCCACAGATGAATTAATATCTCGTTCGTCAAGTTAATGAAATGTGTACTCGTTTTGATATGCTAAATTCAGTTAAATTCATTTACTAATCTTAAGTGGCGCACACATAAGTATTGTTTTCCCTTGTACATTCAGTTTAAAAATTCACCTAAATAGAATACATGGCAATTTAAACACAGAAAATAACTCGGATAATTTCGGAATAGCCCTAACACTCCAAAATCCTCCGATTTCAACATATTTTTACATACACCTGTACCCAAGGGGATTAGGGTTAATTACCCTCATCCTTCGTGGCTATGAAATTGTTTCATAACCACGCCCTACCTGCATCAAAGCATTTTCGTTTCCTTACCCTGATCGTTTCCATTAGATTCTGGGTTGTTAAACATAACTCCATAACTCACCCCATATAGAAAGGACCCTTATTAAAACAATGCCTCTTAAAAAGTATGTTTACCATTTTCAGTACATTAGAATGCCTTCCTGTGGATGAGAGGCCCTTTTAAATGGAATGATGGGATAGACATTTACATGCAGTTTCTTTTTCCCCCTAAACCATGCAGACTATTCCAGTCTGAAGGACAGAGAGATTATTGTTTGCTGATCGCGACTGGTCAGATGCAATCTTGTCGAGATCTACGTTGAGCAAATGTTGTCTCTTTCTTAAAAATCTAGGACAGTAGTTTAAACTCGTAGTCTGCTTTTCACCCCGACGTCTTCAAGTTTGTGCAATATTATGTGTAAAATTACCAAGTAACCTGACAACCTATGGATACATTTCACTCTCTCTTTAAGCATGATATTCGTCTGTCTCTAGGTGGTCTATTTCACCGCCACCTTCCCTTATGTGATACCGGTTATCCTGTTGATTCGTGGCCTGACGTTGCCGGGATCGGATCAAGGAATCTACTTCTTCACCACCCCGCGCTGGGAGTACTACCTTGTTAAGCCTAAGGTGCAGTTTGACGTTTCATTTATCGTTCTGATTTTTTTTCTGCATTAAATGAATTTTTGAGGTTAACATCAGAATTTCCTGAAAAAACAAAACAAAACGAGTTGAGGCTAGAGCTTTTCGCTGGTTTCACTCACGAACACGCCGGGTGATTGGACCACATGATTTTGATGACGTCACAGACTAGTGATGGAGAAGCCAATTCTTTTGTTACAGTTCTGTGCACAGAGAATCATCGTCCAGGAAAAATATGAAAACATATCCAATGGTCGATTTTGATTGGTCACCTATGCACTTGATAATTGCTGCTGATCGAACTTGCCCCAAAATGAAAGAGCGCCGAATAACGTCCAAGAATACGATGCAGAAAACGTCACTTCAAGTCAATTTGAATACGTGCGACACAAACTACTTTAAGAAGATGTGACTCTTAAAGGTAGAACACACTTCCATTGTAGTCTTGTGACTTTCTAAGCAGCAACTGACGAAAACACCAGAGAAAAAGACATTAAAGCACACAATTTATTGGATGCACCATTGCTCCTTTAAATGCCTCGGTACTGCTTGACAATCTCTTTCCGCCATATTAATATAGTGTACTAAAATGGTTTGAAAAATGTCACATGAACCTGTGCAAATTCTGATGCAGTTTGATTTCCCCGTCGGATGGCGAAAAATCCTCTCACTTTAGTTTTTAATTTGAATGTGGAATTTAAAACTAAATAACGGGGCAAAAAATGTGACTGTATCCTGGTTGTATTTATCAAAAAGGTTATAGTTGGACTAGATTTTTAATCTGTATAATAGCTCTTTCGGCATATTTGGATGTGTCTCATCAATACAGCATTTTAGACCATTCTTTCATATCATGAATCTGAGGTTTTTTAAGGTGTGTTTATTACTCTACTGTATTTTTGTTGATTTAAAGGTTCTTTTTTTGGTGTATAAATTCTATGTACTCTTCTTTTGCAATTACAAAAAAAGGTGATTTTTTTTTTCATTTTGATCACGTATTGTATTCTGGTTGTCTTGACTGAGGGAAGTTTGGTTTTGAATTTTTTGCCTCACGTCCCCGGCGATACGGCTCTGGCTAGTGACACATCCGTAGGCCTATGTACTGTACATAGAGAGAGAGTTTCCCCCACCTCTGACTCTCCTTAGGAACCATTTTGGTTCCTCACAATGGAAAAACTCATGTCGCAACTTCTGCAGGGCGCATTCCACCGAATGGTTGTTTTTCTGCGCACGAGCTCATTAATATTTTGTGATCCTACTGGGTGTTTACAATAAAACATGCCATAATCAAGAGGCATCATAGAAATATTTTTATTAATCCCTAATTTTGGACTGATACTTTCCAGTCCGGGGTATTTCTTTCACAAAAAGCACCAAATTATGAAAAGAGGCGAGCGGCTACATTCAGAGCTGAGCGCATAGTTGTGTTTTAGTCCTCCATGGTTGTACTACTATTTTCTTTGGGGGGTATCTTCGGGGAGAGGCGAATAAAAAAATTCGTGGCTAACCCCCATAAAATTGAAACGAAAAGGGATCTTCTGGCCATAATTTTGAATTTCCAGTGATAAAACGGAGGCCAACCTCCTTCCGAGAGTCACTAGGCGTCGCCATTTCGGTCTGATTTTGCACTGTTTTCCACGGTCGCGTAATTGGTGTTGTGCAACCTACAGATAGCTCGTGCAAGTGAAAGTCAACAGCGCCCTCTCTTGACTGTAATTTTGCTCAGATTACATAACACCGCAAATAAACATTTTGTAACCTGTTCAGCGCGAACACATGCACGGTACACGTGAGATTGAGACGAGGTGAAAGTAAAATACCCTCCGTGGTGAAACTAGTCATTATTATTAGCAGCAGGAGGGTTCAGGCTGGGACAGGAAAGATCACTCCACCTTGCGAACCGTCAGCTTCAGGTAAGAAAACCCAAGCACTGCAGTTCAAACCGTCGGTGGATTCTGTAGCTAGCTTAGTATAAATAGTATAAGGCATGAAGGACGCAACAACAAATCGCCTTTTTACGTAAACGTTGCGGTATTCAGCGCAATCTTGAATCTTCAATTATATCGCGCTGATTTATCTTACTCCATCCGTCTGTATCTGTACGTGGCAGACTCCACTTTTGGTATTGACGCAACGGAGAGAGAGGGCTTACCCCCTGAACTGTAGGGTCCGACGTCCGTCCCGCTCCCACGACGGTGGACGTTGGACCCCACAGTTTTTTGGGGGTAGATCTATGCTGATATGTTGGGTGTTACATGATATGTTGAATTAAATCCATTCATAGGATAATCAACTCAGAGGGAGCATATTATAAATTTGTGCAAGCTTCAAGACTGAACAGGGCTAAGGAAGTTAATTGACAGTTTTCCTTAGTTTTGACTCTTGTAACTCAATCCCTAATAGGTAATTAATTAGTAATTCGAATTGACACTGGGACACAATATCACAAGCATTGGGTTTGACTTACTTGAGCCAAGTTTTCCCAATATGGGCATTGTGCTTTGCAGGGTTGTCTGTTTCAAAACCCAGTTGACGAACCTTTTTTTAAAGTTCATCATGCATGTGCTTGTGTGATATGATTTACTGTAGGTCTCACCACATAAAGGCTCTGATTCCGGAGGTCAGAAGAGTTGATGAACTCCCCAATGGCCAAGCACCGGTCGCTTCACTGGTTCCGCAAGGGGCTGCGCCTCCATGACAACCCCTCCCTGCTGGCAGCAGTGAAGGATAGCCAGGAGTTCCGTGCCATATTCGTCCTCGACCCTGTATTTGTCAAATCTGGCACCGTCGGGATCAATAGATGGCGCTTTCTCCTCCAGTCACTGCGTGATCTTGACGAGGGGCTGAAGCGTCTTGGAAGCAGGTAAAGCATCTTGGATGAAGTAGATAATCGTGCCACCCACATATCCGATCTTCCAACTCAAAGACTTTTCTGCTTAGGCCCTGTGCGTTTCACACGGATCTAGATCACAATCAGTGACCCATCATGTGTGTATGGACACCAAAGCTCACCTGGTGGTGTAAACCAGCATAAAGATCACTCATCGCAATCCTGATCCGTGTGAAACAAATAGGCCCATAGACTCAGACAGGCCCTAAAACACCTACGAAAAGAAAGACCTCCTGAATACAAAGGCCCCCACCCCCCAATCTCCTCTTGCATCCTGGATTAGCTGTAGACATGTACATGGGACCATTTGATCTGTGCTGTTAATCTATGGTGCTGCCCTCGTGGGTCCTATAGAAAATCTCAGTCTGTACAAGTTTCCCCTAGACAGAACGATCTTCCGTATTACACTTAAATTAGATTGAACAGGTGATTGGCTGTTGGCAAAGGGATTGACCGGGTGTGCTGCAAAATGGACCAATTGTTCAGCATTTAATCGATCAAGTAGATAAGCAGATCCTGCCCGGCAGTTATACCACTGGCATGAACTGCCCCTTCTCCTTAGTTTGTAATAAAGAAAGTAATTCCTGATCGACACCCAACATCCATACTGCAGGTTGTATGTGTTGAGAGGCAAGCCTACGGAAGTCTTTCCAGACATCTTCAAGAGCTGGCAGATCAGTCACTTGACGTTTGAACACGACACGGAACCATATGCTAAGATTCGAGATGAGGCCGTGACAACCATTGCTGAGGAACACGGCGTTCGGGTCACCCAGAAGACATCACACACTCTCTACGACATACAGAGGTAACCTTTTTGATTTATTTCTTGAGTACGACTTAAATTTCCTATTCAGTGAAACTTTGCTGTAAATTTTAATGTATGTAAAGAAGATAAGATCTTTTCTGACCATGAATTTATGACATGCTATATGGAGTTCACATGTAATTAACTACTCAGAGGTGAAAAAGGTCGAGGAGAGCTCAGGAATTTTTTCTGCTGTATGCTCTCAATGCCGTGTTATGGCTGTGGCACCACACATGTACTGTGCGGTATGTGAGAACCTTCAAGTTTGTGGAGACAGGTCACCCAAGTTCCCCTAATTCAGTCCAAATTTACCCAACAGAAGAAAATCTTTCCTTCAAAACTGTTTCGGTCAGGTTACCCTTCTGTACATTTTCACACATGAGTGCTTCAGTTTTGTGCTCATTCCGGTGAAAAGTGGACTGTTCTATCAGTGATATAATGTTGGCAATAACAGAAGCACCTGGTTGGCACAAGTACCCGTATTTGTAGACATGCCTTAGATGGAGACTTGTGCATTTTAACTAAGGAACAGCCCAGTGAAATGTGAGAACAATGCTTTGTTCCATTATCAGGATTGTGTTTTTTATATGAAGAGTTTCCATAGTAACAATAACATTTTGAAATTTCAAGGGTCTTCTTGGGCAGGTACAACTCAAACCAGCCTTGAAATCAGGGTTCAAACAGTAACTGTTCTTCATTTTGTTCTTTCACTGACCTCTTCCTGTCTTTCTCTTCCCTCATTTTGATAATTATATTTAGCATCTTGAAGGCTAATGGCGGTAAACCCCCATCGACATATCAAAGCCTTCTCTCAGTCCTGTCCAAGATGCCCCCACCTCGAAAACCAGAACCGGCACTGAGCAAGGAACACCTTAAAGGTATTGGCAATGTTGACACAAATTCCCCCCCCCCCCCGAGTGGGCGGGGGGGGTGTAAACCACTTGAATATGTTTGATGTCGTACATTTAACATGTAAGGATCCTGCAAAATGGGTGTTAGGGGCTAATTTTTCAGTAATTTTCCACCCAAAAGAACAAATGAACTCTTTGTTTGAATGTCTCACCCAGTTTGGCATCCTGTGGGAAATAAACATTGTGAGGGTCAGAAATGTTCTGTGTTCCTTTTTCTGCAAAATGCTTTTACAGGCTCGTATTTAAACTCAAAAGAGGCAGTGGTGTGTCGTGACTCATTTTTGTTGGTTGGTCACAGATTTTTAAATTGTAGTAAGCGAGTTGCATGTTTACAGAAACACAAAAATACTGGATACACCTTTGAAAGCAAAACGTTCACAAAGATTGAAGTCTGTTGAAGTAAATATTAAAGCTAGGTCTTTCCGTGTTATTGAAGTCTGTTGAAGTAAATATTAAAGCTAGGTCTTTCCGTGTTATTTTTTCCCCTCAGATTGTAAATTACCTGTTGGTACAGATCATGACGGTGAATTCGGTGTTCCGTCTCTGGAGGAACTGGGTCTGGATCCAAATGATGCCGGCCCAGTCCTTTTTCCAGGGGGAGAGACAGAGGCCTTACAAAGGATGGAAGAGCATCTAGAGAGACAGGTTTGTGATTGTATCCCTTCCAGAGGGGCGATTTGGCTCACTGAAAGAGGCAGTGAGCAGGACCGGATTATCCCATTGGCACGGCAGGCATTGTGCCTGGGGCCTACAAAAAATGATGCGGCCTTCAAAAATTTTGAGGACCTTTAGTAATACAATGTATGTGCAACAGAACAAACTCCTAAAGTCACAGACATGCTGGAAAAGTTTCAGTGTGTCTTTGTTGCATTTTCAAGTTTTGAAAAGCTCCAAACTAGCTAGTTCATAGTTTTGCTCCAAGTTGGCATCCATGTCAAATGCAAGGTTGGGGTGCTAAGTAACATTACATCTCATCAGAGATGCCTTTGGAGCAGTGATGCCTTGCCCTCATCCAACTCTAGATTCAGCCCAGTCAGAATGCTTTATACTGGAAATCACAGTTTTCCCATATGCTCAGTGCATAAACCATTGAGGGCGCTATGTATGTGGCTGATAGGCCCACGTACAGATGATGTCACATTTTATTTACATATATTCTTTCCTGTGGAGCCAGTGGGGACCCACTGTCCACTGAACACCACAGGAATGCACAACACACATAAACAATGCATGCCATCACCAGTACACAGGCCAATTTATATCATCTTCTTTCTTCAAGCATTCTCCACAATGTTCCCATCTTTCCTTCCTATCTTCAGGACTGGGTGTGCAAGTTTGAGAAGCCCAAGACAGAGCCCAACACACTCAGCCCCAGCACAACAGTGCTGAGCCCCTACCTGAAATTTGGCTGCCTGTCTCCGCGGTTATTTTATCACAGAGTCCAGGACGTCTACGCGCGCAAGGTAAAAGTAGCATCGTGGACCCCAGCCCGAAGTGCAGTATGTGAACTAGCAAGGCTCATTTGAATCCACGAAGATAACTTGAATGAGTTTCCACACTTCTGAATGTGTACATACCACAGGAAAATGCTCGGATCTGCTTGAGAGAACTTCATCAATGTTTACAGTGTATTTCTCTTTGAATCTTCTCCTTCACAAAATTCCATCCCATGCTTCAAGCTACTGCATTAAAAGCGTTATTATCCAAAGCACATGCCTCGAATTCTGGGATATGTAAGAGCATGAAATAAATTTAATGAACTGAAATTCTGTTGTCAGCCTATGAGCGGCTTCTTAATCTTCATTGGTTTGTCTTCACATCTGGGGGAGGGGCCTCTGGCCCCAATCCCACTCTTTTGACTTGGGATAATGGCTCCCCTTCCCAGTTTTGGCAGGTTCTGCAATTGCTGATGGCCGATAGCCTCACAAATGCCCCCCCCTACTTAGGAAATCATTCCACCAGCATTGTTCATCGTCTCTTTCTCATCCGTAGAAGAGCCACAGCAAGCCCCCGGTCTCCCTCCATGGTCAGCTGCTCTGGAGAGAGTTCTTCTACACGGTGGCAGCCGCCACCCCCAACTTTCACAAGATGGAGGGTAATGCTGTCTGCCTGCAGGTGCCTTGGGATACTAACGAGGAATACTTCCAAGCATGGAAACAGGTGGGGGTCTGCTATGTCATTCATGTTTGCTAGAAGGTTTCCTATTGAGTTTTTGCCTCTGCCAATTTTTTTTTTGGTTACAAGAATTACATATACATGTACAGCAAAGTTCCACCTGCATTTTAGAACAGGGAAACTTAGTTTTCATACCGTCTTGAAGTTTGGTCGTTTTTCTTCTCAGGCACGTACAGGGTATCCATTCATCGATGCAATCATGACCCAGCTGAAGCAGGAAGGTTGGATCCATCATCTTGCCCGCCACGCTGTGGCTTGCTTCCTGACGCGAGGTGACCTGTGGATCAGCTGGGAGGAAGGGCAGAAGGCAAGCACTAGGCTTCATTCCCCCCCGCCCCCCCTCCAAATAAACTGCTCAGCAGAAAATTTTGTCTTGAGGGCAAAATTACTGTCTGGCATATTTTCTTTTGCCAAGGGGCCACCACGTTGGATAAACTCCAACATTCATTTGTGTCTTTTCCAATCATGGCAGGTCTTTGAGGAGTGGCTACTCGACGCTGACTACAGCCTGAATGCTGGCAACTGGATGTGGCTGTCGGCCAGTGCTTTCTTCCATCAGTATTTCCGAGTTTACAGTCCCACGGTCTTTGGCAAGAAAACTGACAAGAACGGCGATTACATCAGGTAAACATAGGCCTGGGCTGTAAGCTGTGCTACTGCCCTGCCAAACGTGGGTGTGGTTAGAGTACCGAAGTGTGACATTTTGAACCAGGAAGTGCAGTACATGTACGAACAAATGGAGTATCCCGGCATGTTGGGTCATGCACTTGTTCTTACGCTAATGGACACATTTTGGGCCTTGCGCCTTTTGGACACATTTTTGTGTGTGTGATGTATTCACGCTGGTACTCTGGTACAGTGATAGTGCAGCATCGAACTTAATAGAACAGCGTTGTACAACTGGCCTTCAGAAAATTGAGTTCACAGTATATTCTGTTGGCTAAAGGCTGGGGCTTGCTGTGCTGAATTCAATTTGCCGAGGTGAATTGGAGCTAAAATGCTGTGCCATTACCAAAAATAAATATTTTTTTCTGGCTCGGTGATAGGAAATATCTGCCAGTGCTCAAGAAGATGCCAGCACAGTATATCTACGAGCCGTGGACGGCGCCCCGCAGCGTGCAGGAGAAGGCAGGGTGCATTATGGGCACCGACTACCCCCGGCCAATAGTCGATCACAGCGTGGTCATGAAGCGCAACATGGAGAGGATGAAAAGGGCACGGGCTGCCAAATATGGGGACAGTAACGCCAACAGCAAGTCACAGAAGGAAGCTTCTTCTTCAAAGAAGAAAGTAAATGGTAAGATATTATCGGTTCCTTCTCCCGTATTCATATCTTTATGCATTCAATTTTTCACCGTCAGCTTGCATCAGTTGGTCAAATTTGTTTATGGGATAGCTTTCAGATTATTTGATTTACAGTTGCTGCCGTTTTATAATTAACCTTGAATTTTGTTTCAGTATGACAGTTCATTTAAAGAGTATTGGAATAGTACTCGGTATTACAACTGCTAGAGACAAAAGTAGATTTAGCGTGACAGTCCTTCTTTTGGGGAAGGGACAAGGTATCCATGTGGTGTCTAAAGAATTGGAGTAACTTCAACCCTTTCAATTCCACGAGTTAAATGTCTCCAAGAAAAATGGAACACGGGAGGAATGATTTTTGAAAACGAAGAAACTCTTGTTACTGTTCCTTGAAGATGTTATCATTGCTCTTGCAAGACCTTGAGTCCGCTAGTCGTCACCGAGTTAAAAACCCTCAGATTTAATCTAATATTTTTGATTTCTCTCAGCAGGTGGCTTAAAAAGGAAGAGCAAAGCCGAAGATTCTGGTCACTCCACCAAGAAGACCAAGGAGATATCTGACTTCTTCTAGAGGTGCACTCCGTGAAAGAATTCGAAGGCCCTTAGAACACATGACTCATCGTGATTGACACCTGACCCCAGGCAGACTCCTTATTAAAAAAAAACACCCTAAAGACTCTGAAATTGGCTGACAACAGTCCCACGAGAAAGCTTATCATAAAAAGACGCTAATAATTCCTTCTAGTATGACAGTGCAACTTGAAATTATGGCCACTGAACATTAATCTACTGACTTTTAGTGGTTGACCGTAACTGTTTCATAGGCACCCATATTTATTGTAACAAACCTCTTTGTTCTATTTATTTGTCCATTCATCACATTTTTCTACTGGGTATATTGTATGTAAGACTTTCCATCGTCAGCATTTATTTCAAGTAGGTAGTTTTGTGGTGGAGTTTCATTGGTTTCCAAATTTTCAATCATTTCTTAATCAGTTTTGTAGTGTTAAAAAGTCTCAGGAGAAGGGAACTATTGTTTTAAAAAGTTAATGTATTATGGTTAATGTTTTGACCCACGTAGAATTGTGTAGAATTAATATTAAAAGTTCTAGAATTCATTAGAATGTTAGAACCGGTTCCATACAAGTTTTACAATCTTCGGATGTTTTCTTAATGGGATGAAACATGAGTGTTTGACCATGTTAATTTAAAAAGACTGCGGGTGAGCTTAACCCACACTTTAGTAAAGAATTGAGTTGTTTTAGATTTGGATTTCCAGCACAAGTGAGACAATGAGAAAGAAATAAAGTTGATTTTAAAAAAATCCCCCAGTGTGGTAGCTTTTGTCCTCAAAGTTCCCACGTGGTAGGCTGAAAATCGTAGGTGTTACTGTCATTTGGCAGGTATTTAATCAAAATTTCCAATGTTAGTTAATCTCTTCAAGTTTTGAAAATAATTTTGGAAAAACTTTAAATATCCAAGATTAAACCACTGAGTTTTGTTTGACAGAATTCTGGCTGTTTTTTAAAGTGCAAGATTAACACCGCAGATTTTGAAATAAGTGCTTTTCTTGATTTTGGCAACACTTTTTAAAACTTTCAAAGTTACCCCCTTGCAGTTTTGGGCAAATTTTTATTTGAATTTCCAAGGTTGTACCCTCACAGCAATTTTTCTGTAAATTTTGGCAAAATTTTAATCCAAGTTTGTGGTCCCTTTCAGATTTTAAGTTCATAATTTTGACAAGACTTGACATGAAACGCCAGGTGAATCCCTTGCAGGCCAAGGGAACACACAACAAGGATATCAGTCGGTGACTCGTACCGCCATAGGTTGGTTGGTTCGGCTTCAGAATGGCGATTACTGTCACTGTCATGGTTGTGTTAATGCTTGGTGGTCATTCTCATTTAGGTTATGCACAATTTGGAAGTGGTAAATAAAATGATAACGTCTCTACAAAGTCTGATTCCAGAGAACTCAACTTGTTTTCTGTTCGACCCCAATTTTTCTTGCTACAGCAAAGAGAGAATTTATAGGCAAAGGAATAAAGAGTGCAAAATGAAAATCATTATACTCTACAAGGAAGAAATTTGGAGTACCAAGAATACGTAGAGAAATAAAATATCTGAAATAACTTCGAATTCACACAATGGGCAAAGGAAAACACCTCGATCAGAAACATCAAAATCTATAAAGTTATTATATAAAGCACCTTTCCCAAAACACCAAAATATTTTTGGTAATAAACCTTTTTATTTTTGAGGAACTACAAAATTTTGGAGTATTCGTGTAAGTAGGTACTCAGAACGTTTGAAAATCTTTCTTAAGAGAGTCTTGCCACCATGATTTCAGAAAAAAAGAGCTATTCGGCGCTACTTCACTCTGTTTCAATTTCCCACTTTACAATTGATCGTGACCAAGCTTTTTGGGGGGTTGCTCAAACTGTCACTTCCTTCTCGTCCTTTCTGAGGGCAGCATACTTGGCGGTCCTAGGGTTGGAACTGACTTCGGCCGGGCACACTTCTCCCCCCATGGTGGTGCCGTGGCGGCGGTGAACTTCCGCCGCCTCCTCTCGATGCTGAATCAGGGCCGGCCCCCAGGAGTCCAGGGGAGAGGTGATGATGCGTAGGCGCTGCCCAAGGAAGGAAGGAGGGAAAAACAACGAATCCTAAATGTGCTGCTGTTTGTGGTAGAGACAAACCATGTCAACTACTGGTCTGTCTTCTCTATATTATCATTTGGACAGCAGCTGACGTTTTGGTCAGTTGTTAGACTGTAACACTTTTTCAATTTCGAATCTCTTTCTGTATCCATTGCCACCTTTCAAGTTAATTGTTCAATCAACTAATAATCTTTGTCGACTGATGAAACAGCGGGCAACTAAATCTTGCGGGCAAAGATGGGTTTTGAGAAGAATTCTCTCAGTCCTTGGGGAAGCGTCAAACCAACTTGAACTTACTTTATATAGAAACACGAAACGCTAATTGTGCAGCTCTGCATCAACATAATTATATTGAAAAGCCAGTGTCTACGAGCACTAGGGCCTATATGAAATTGGTGCTAGTGCCCTGGGTGGAGTGTAGGACCTACAAAGCATTGGTGTCTAGGACACAAGGAATGCTTCCTCTTTTCCCACATGGTCTTTACCTCTATGAAGCTGCCCTTCCTCCTCAGTAGCTCAAAGACCACATGTCCGGGGATACCAATGAGCGTGGTCATCACCATCATCCAGCCGAGCGCTCTGGCCCAGGGCGGGTACGGTCCGTTGTACTCGGGCTCGGTCCAGCTCACCCAGTTAAACACCAAAATGACCTGGCCACAACGGGAAGGGAACATATTTTAAACAAGTGTTCAACTCCATCCGACTCGAACACATCCTCTCGTGTTGATCCAAGCTTTGTCCGGATGAAGTTTGAATACATGTAATTTCAAGGTTGCTTCAAGCAAATTGGTGATTTTTTTCCCTTGAATTTCCCCCCCCCCCATTTCTTTCGCCCTTTCTGGTATTCCCCCACCCCCTTTTCGGGGGGGGGGGTGCCCCATGACGCCCATGACTTTGTGCTGGAGGGATAAACTTACCCCCATGGACAGCGGAGTCAGGACCACCCAGTTCAGCGGCCACCACTTGAAGTACAGCGTGTCCACGTACCGGTCCCCAATCATGGTGCGGATGTCGTTGATGAAGCGTCGTATGCCGTAGCCCCAGCTCAGGCCACCGGTGATGAGGAACGCGAAGAGCAGCATCGCAAAGTTTGCTCCATAATTGTCCAGGAGTGACGTCCAGTAGGGTCCGGCCTGTCGGAGGGAAAGGAGACAGCAAGGATAAATGACTGGAAAGCAACTCAGATGAAAAGAAGTTTCCACATTTGTGCTACAAAATTCACAAAGTTTTGAGGGTATTTGTATTGAAAAGACCGGATGGTGATATAAATTGCACATATGGGGTCCAGAAAAAAATGGGTTATTAATCTGAAAATAGGACCCTGCTTTTTGAGGGCTCAACTTCAGTACCATACTACAGTACTTCCAGGGTGGATCACGTTTTGTTCGGGGGAGGGGATGCTACAGCTGCTAAAGGAGAAGGTTGGTAGAAAGGAAGGTGCAGGTTGTTTTAATCAATTACTATCCGGCTCACAAAGTGAGGATGTGGCCGAAATATCGCACTTCTGCCGGCACAGAATGTTTCAAATGCAACAGAGATTTACTTTGATCTTATATTGCCATTTTCTTCATACCATCACTGCAGTTAAAGTTATTCTGTCTGATCTGTTCCGGCAATGTTGCATATAATGCCAGACTCCGGGTTCATTTGAATTTCTTATCAAATGAAATCCTGATTTCGTGATATTGTGGGTCACTACTTAGCCTTTCTCGTCTTTTTCAAGCAAAGTTCACTTAGGTCCATGTTATGTTCATTACAGCGCTTGTCCACTAAAGCGGAAGATAACACAGTAGTTCCTTCAGTTGTCTGGTTTTCTCGACACGTGGCCTGAAAAGGCCGACACGGTCAAGCGCCGATGTTTGTTTTCTGTTTGGCATGGTTACTTACTTGGGTTATGCAGCTCAGACTGCACAGAACCTGCACCAGGCACAATCCCAGGGTGACAAAGATCCTGCGGTGCGGTGGAAAGAACCGGGGATACTCGTCCACTAAGCCGGTGATCAACCTCTCTAGACTTACAAACTAGGACACAAAAAAAGAGAACATTTGGTATCGCTCCTCTGCAATTCATCTCTGTACTTCCTATCTGGGGGCCCTAAACCATGCGATCTAAAAACTAGGGCCCAAATTCAGGTAACAAACTCTGTCAGATACAGCAAACTGGGCAACGTGAAAACAGCTACCTTAACCCCCAGAGCCTTCATAATCCTTCAAAATCCTACATATGCAGCAAGGTATGAGACGGAGAGAACTCCCCC